CAAAAAAAAAAAAGAAAGAAGTAAACAACATATTCAGTCCAACAAAATGCGGCCCAGCCCAGGACTGTGTGTGCATGGCAGTCAGGTAAGGGATCCAAGCTGTTGGAGGCTGTGTGTGGGCATTGCTGTTGATTTACTGAGTGCTATGGGGCTGTTGGACACCTGTTTACAGAGGGGGATGGTGCCTACTCCCCTTTGGCAAGCGTGCTGGGCTGGAGTGGAAGCAGCAGGACCTTGGGGAGCTGGATAGGAGAATCCAGATGGAGGAGGTGGCAGTTTAAGCCAGGTAAGGGGCGGAAAGAGTCCGGGGAAGTTCTGGGATAGAACTGATGGGATTTGCTGATAGTGTGTGAAGTGTACAGAGGAGGAAATGAAGCTGGTCTCCTGGTTTTGGGCCTGGAGTTGCTGCTTGGTGAGGTTGGAAGGCTGGATGTGGTGTATTGCAGTGGGAGGAGGTGGGAAGTAGAAGATGCCTCTGGCCACACTCAGGTTGAGAGGCCGTCTTGAGGTGGGGCTGTTGAGTCTGATTGGAGTTCAAAGAAAAGATAGGAGCCAGAAGTAACCACGGATCTTCTTGGACACAGCTCGTTGTCCAGGAAGGTTCCCAAACCACTTTTCCTGAAAGAATTCCTCAGTGCGTAACTCAGGGCGAATGTTTATTGTGTGTGTTGTTGTTGTTTTTGTTTGTTTGTTTTTGAGAACAGGGTCTTGCTCTGTTGCCAGGCTGGAGTGCAGTGGTGCGATCTCGGCTCACTGCAACCTCCACCCGCTGGGTTCAAGTGATTCTCCTGTCTTCGCCTTCCGAGTAGCTGGGACTAGAGGCCTGCACCACCATGCCACGCCCAGCTAACTTTTTATATTTTTAGTAGAGACGGGGTTTCACCATGTTGACCAAGCTCGTCTCGATCTCTTGACCTCATGATCCGCCCACCTCAGCCTCTCAAAGTGCTGGGATTACAGGCGTGAACCACTGCGCCCAGCTGTTTGTTGTTTTAATCATCCAGTGGGAGATTCTGATTGCACAGAAACTTAAACAGTATAGAAAAAAATATTAAGCAAAACACACAATCCATTTTTTACATGGAGGTGGACATTTTTACATGCACTGTCATGTTTAGGCCGTGCGTGTTGTGGGTGTACATGGGGCCGCTTGACCTTAATGGCTTATGGGCACCTTAATGGCTTATAGCTTGCCTTTTTCAGACGCTGGTTGTGTGGCAGAATGAGCTGATGACTCTCACCTGGCAGGAAGCCTGTGTCTGGAACTTACGGCTTTGCTTTCACTTTTCGGTGTTTTAGTGTGCCCCACTTGCTGGCTACATGTTCTGTGCTGGAGTCTGTTGTAAAGACTAGAGAATCATTTATAGGACTTGGGTGTAAAGACTGGAGAGTCATTTGTAGGACTTGGGTGCAGCACAGTCGGTGCAGGCTTTTCATGGCCCTTGTAATGTTAAAAAGCTGCGTCTGGTGCTCGGATGTGGCCCCCTCTGTGAGGCTCAGGTGACACTGAGTGTGCCACAGAGCGGCTGCCACAGAGTGGCTGTGGGGATGGGAGCAGTGGCACTTCCCATTCCAACTGGGAACACGCAGGCAGCTCGAACACAGTAGGCCTTTGGGGGCAGTGCCTCCCTTCTGATATGTGGAGCCCTCCCCCTCCCCTGACCCTGAGAGGGTGAGGAACGGGTGCTTTCGGGAAGTCATTCACTTGTTTTTTGAGACAAAGTTTTATTCTTGTTACCCAGGCTGGAGTGCAGTAGTGCGATCTCAGCTCACTGCAACCTCTGCCTCCTGGGTTCAAGTGATTCTCCTGTCTCAGCTGCCTGAGTTGCTGGGATTACAGGCACCCGCCACCACGCTTGGCCAGTTTTTGTATTTTCAGTAGAGACGGGGTTTCACCACGTTGGCCAGGCTGGTCTCCAACTCGTGACCTCAGGTGATCGCCTGCCTCGGCCTCCCCAACGTGCTGGGATGACAGGTGTGAGCCACCACGCCTGGCCTTGTTCATCTTTTTTTCCCCCTTTTAGGTCGGGATCAAGAACCAGAGATCGCAGGAGGTAGGTTTCCAGGTCCATTAAAATGATGTCAGTCAAATATCTCTTTCCATAAGCATTTTTCTTAACATTTAATGTTTATGCCTTTACAAATGTTATCTGGCAGGTGGGGCTGGCTTGTGAAGGGCACAGGGCGAGGGGTTGCCTGGTGCCGTGGAGGATTCCCACTGTTAATGAGAGGGAAGGTCGGGGCCTGCAGGGTGACAGGAGTATCCAGGCCAGATGCTTTCAGGAGGCCTCATTGGAAAGGTCCTAACCATTGGAGATGAACTGATGGAAATATTTTAAACCCAAATTTGTGGGAGTAAAGGGGAAAATGTCAGTAAAGCAGCGAGCAGAATCTGCTGAGGGGTGGGGCCCTGGTAGTGTTGGCACCTATAGAGTCTCAGCCTCGGAACTTGCTGATTTTTCAGGTCACGCTCCCGGGATCGGCGTCGGAGGCGGTCAAGATCTACCTCCCGAGAGCGACGGAAGTTGTCCCGGTCCCGGTCGCGAGATAGACATCGGCGCCACCGCAGCCGTTCCCGGAGCCACAGCCGGGGACATCGTCGGGCTTCCCGGGACCGGAGTGCGAAATACAAGTAACTACTCTGACTCCTTCGGTAGCTGCAACCAGGAGTGAGCCCTTCTCTGTGTTCCCAGGGTCTGCTGAGGGCCGTGTCTGGTGGGGATGGGGCTGGGCTCACACTCAGGAGTAGGGCTGGGGGGTCGTGAATGGGACTCAGGTCTGGGAAGAAGCGAGAGGGCTGTGGAGGAGTTCACGCGGCTCCAGGTGATGCTGCAGGGACTGTACATGCACCAGCCTGCGCCCTGGGCCTGTGCACTGTCACGTCCGTACAGAGTGCCTGAGACTTATGTCCTCACCAGGCCCTGCTTACCTCTGTTTTTGTTTTTGATCTTTTTTTTCCATTGTGTTTTTACGTAGTGTCATGTTCTGTGCGTATAGTGTTGTATTCTCCTTTGCACTGTTTATGTTACAGTGAAGGCTCTCCTTATTAAAAATCTTTGCAAAGGTCACTTTTTAATGGCTATTTAACACTCCATATGTGGTGGGCAAGTCTGGCTGGCCTCGGGGGGGTGTCCGGGTATAGGGGATGCATGGCCTTCCCTGGCCTGGTCTGCAGGTCCATTGTCGTACCTGAGCGGCCAGCAGAAGTGGGGCAGCAGCCTCCACTGAGCCTCTGGTTCCCATTTCCCAGGTTCTCCAGAGAGCGGGCATCCAGAGAGGAGTCCTGGGAGAGCGGGCGGAGCGAGCGAGGGCCCCCGGACTGGAGGCTTGAGAGCTCCAACGGGAAGATGGCTTCACGGAGGTCAGAAGAGAAGGAGGCCGGCGAGATCTGAACCCGTCTCCCGGGTGCTGTAAATAGTCTGATAAACGTTCACACAGTCTAAAATTACCCTTTATATTTGCTGAATACAACTCATCTTTTGTAGTTTAAAATTTCTATTGTTTTGGAGCTAGCTGTGAGTTTCTAGAATTGTACAGAGTTGCTCCTGTGTTCTGGGGTCATGTTGAGTAGGAATAAATAAATCTGACGACTGCCTCCTGAGGCTGCAGTGGGGTCTCTGCTGTCTTCTGCTTAGAGGCTCTTCACTGTGACCCCGTGCCAGTGCCACCATCGCCTCACAGAAACCATGACTTACTCGTGGGCCGTGTCTTGTCTTCTGGCATCCAGTAGATGGCAGGGCACTTCCTGTTCCCTGCACCTGACTGACGGGACCCAGGTGTGCATGCTGTTTGCTCAGCCCCACACAACCTTCTGAGTGAGCTGCCCATCTCCAATGGGGAGGAGGGAGGGGCTCCCGTTCTGCCTTCATTTATTTAGGAAAAGCTGTCTTGTCTGGTCAGCTGCTACCACAGCCTTAACTTGGGACTCAGGTGAGTTACATCGCACTTCCCCTTTTGAAGGTACTAGCACTAAACAGAGACCTATGGGGCTGGGCATAGTGACACATGCCTGTAGTCCCAGCTACTACTCAGAAGGCTGAGGCAGGAGGATCTGTTGAGCCCAGGAGGCTGAGGCAAACCTTGATTCCGCCACTGCACTGTAGCCTGGGTGACAGAGGAAAACCCTGTCTCCAAAAAAAAGAAAAAAAAAAAGGTGGTTTGTCTCATGTCCCATGTGAGCTGATTATGTTACTCACCTCTCAGTTCTTTCTAATGTACCTGCTTTACATCAGTCAGATACCAAAATGAAGGGCCGGGTGCAGTGGCTCACGCTTGTAATCCCAGCACTTTGGGAGGCAGATCACTTGAGGTCACAAGTTCGAGACCAGCCTGGCCAACATGGTGAAACCCTGTTTCTATCCAAACTACAAAAATTAGCCGGATATGGTGGCGGACACCTGTAATCACAGCTACTTGGGAGGCTGAGACAGGAGAATCACTTGAACCCGGGAGCTGGAGGTTGCAGTGAGCCGAGATTGCATCCAGCCTGGGCGACAGCAAGCCTCTGTCTCAAAACATCACAGAAACCCAAAATGAAGCCTTTCTGAAAAGGGTAACTGCTAACTAATGTGTAGATGATGGGTGCTCCTTTCCTTTTTCACTTTGTGGGAGATTTTTTGGAGGGAATTCCTGTGGTTCCATTGTTAACACATAGTCATCCTCATCCACTCTGTTTCTGCAGAGGTACAGATGCCACCCTTGAGCTGGTTGGCTCAGTGGGCACACACAGGTGCTGTGGGCTGGGTCTTTTCGCCACCAGTATCAAGATGCAGCTGGTGTCCCTGCTCTGGGCTCTCCTGCCACAGGCTGTCCCCTCCAGGAGGACAAATGGGTAGGTGGGCTGCTCTGCCAGCCCGTGACACAGGTCTTGCCCAGCCAGCCTCCAAGGAAAGGAGGGTGGAAGGCGCCACCCTGCGCAGGAGTCACTTGGGATTGATGCTGTGCTTTGGAGTCGTCACCCGTGTTGGTGTTCCTCACTCGCACCTTTTCCTGCACGTGGGACTCGGGTCCTTATTCAACACGTGAACTTTCCTCCTGTCTTCCGGGAGGGAGTGGCTGGGTCTGGGTTCCCTGCTCCCAAGCCCATGTTGTGGTCGTGGCTGTGGCTGCCCGGGTGATGAGTGTTGGTTTGCACCCTGGGTTTCCTTGCGGCTTAAGCAGACAGCCTCACCCTCAGAGCCATTACTGCTGTGAATCGTTTGGATCTTTTTCCATCTAGGCATACATTTGTATGTGTAGACAAATAGTTGGTTTTTGCCTTTTTCTTTTTTTTTTTGGTCAGGGCTTGGGGTTTACAGAAAAGGTGCTGTGCCCCTGGCCTTCAGTACTCACGTCCTGTCCCCTGTGTCTGCTGATTACAGCTGAAGGGGACAGGTCCTCCTGGGATGCAGCATCAGTGTCCCCGGCTGTCCCTGGTAGCCTCATGCTGGTGCAGCCGTCCGGGGCACCAACCGTGCAGGGAGAGGTGCTCCTTCCTCTCTACCATGCAGGGACAGTCGGGTGGGTCTCAGTACACCTGCCAGGTGGTGCTGACCAAACTGAGCTTCGTGCCCCCAGTGCAGTTTTGCTGATACCACCCAC